GAAGAACTTCATCTTTTTTCCGGGGTAAATCGAGCTTACTTGAGCAGAAGTTGATAATTTTTCCACGAGAGACGTCACGTTTCTTCACAAGAACTGCATCTTTTATCCTGGAAAACTCGGTGTTTCTTCAGAGGAACTTCATCCTTTCTCCTGGAGAACTCGGTGTTTCTCCACAAGAACCTCATCTTTTGTCCTGGAAAACTTCGTGTTTCTTCAGAAGAACTTCATCTGTTCTCCTGGAAAACTCGGTGTTTCTTGAAAACTGGTTTTCCAGAAACCGATTAGGAAAGGCCTATTAGCCAAATCGGCTAGCATATTCGGAATCAGCATGATCGATTACCTATGAGCTACCGCATTTCGTTAGAAAAGCGATTTGACAGTTGGATATGTTCCCTCGTCAGCTTGATGTTTTCGATCCAACCATGTATAAATATATCAAAAAAGAAAAAGTTACTGGAACTTCGGCTGAATTATGACTAACCATTTTGAGCCTGAAACCGAGATAACTTGCATTGATTTTAAAACTTTTGTATTCAAACGAAAAGAGTGTTCCACTTAAGCAAAGAGCATTATCCGGGATAATTTTGCTAACGAACGTTTTCTGCAAAAATCGTGGCGGACGTTATCGGAAGAGAAATACCATCGTTCGAAGCCAAAATTTGGTCTAGAAATTGATAGACACAGTTAGGAATATTACTTTTAAAATGTTGAGGTTGACGGTGGTTCATGTGGTCAGAGATGTGTTGTAAAGCGAGGATCGAAGTTAGTATTTTCCTCCACATTTATTTTTGATGTTAACTGTTAATGCGTGATAGAGTTTCAATTCTTGGTCTTCGTCCAGGAGATCATTTATCAATGCATGAAGATGAAGATAAGTTTGTGGATAATAGTCAAGGTTAGAACAACCGATGTCTAAACTGAGATATGCCACTGATGACATAACATGGAATCCTAAACCCAACATTAGATTATCCGGCTGAAGTATAGTGAGTTTCATTAACTTCACTTTTCGCATAACAGGTGTTAAATATTCAATTAAATCATTGAAAAAGGTGCATCCATGTAGAACGTAGATCAGCCCGTAAGCCGCTAACTCATTTTTAACATAAGAATTTTCTTGCGCTACCCCTTCATAATATTCTACGAAATTTTTAGTCTCGGTACACTGCGACTACATATAGTTCAAGGTACTTCAAATTTAAGATCATACGATCGCATTTTGAGGCTCACTGTTGAGCAAGTATCTTGTTCACGAAAACTAGGGGTTGTTTGAAATATTTTTTGTAATTCCATTAGATGACATCGATATGTATGAATTGAAAGTATTGGATGATCCGGATAGCCCAACTACTGTTGATCTTGATTCGTCCGTCGATGAGATTCGCTCAGATTTTCACATTGAATCCGCTACGCTACCATTTCTATTAGAAAAGAAAGAAGACGAAAATTAGAACAATACAATTTGACTTTTGTGATTTTTCAGTGATTGTTTTATTGAATTTTTCAAAATAAAGACTGAAATTTTTTACTGAAAAATATTATTAATCATCTTGCAAAACCAATTTGGTGCTATTTCTTTTTATTCTTAAAATGATTTCTCCGAAGAGTCGAAATAATACAAGTACTGCTTGTTGGAAACACAGAATTTTGACCCAACAAATGTTCAGTTTGGTTTTCTTGAATGCGAGAACGATGCATTTTAAAATCGTTTGAGAATTTGTGGGACACTATAGGTTTTGCGTGCGTGGCATGAAAATAATATTTTTCAGTAAAAAATTTCAGTCTTTATTTTGAAAAATTCAANATTTTGACCCAACAAATGTTCAGTTTGGACCCAAATAGAAAACCTTCCGAGCCTCCCGGCTCGGACCGCAATTCATGTAACCTGTGCTTGTGATATACTACGATAACATCGAGATGTAGATAAAGAGTGATAGAACAACAAGTAGCACAATGAAATATCATTGATGAAAGTATATCGGTTTCTATTTCTTAATCATGGAAAGTCAATGAATATTTTCATGCCACGCACGCAAAACCTATAGTGTCCCACAAATTCTCAAACGATTTTAAAATGCATCGTTCTCGCATTCAAGAAAACCAAACTGAACATTTGTTGGGTCAAAATTCTGTGTTTCCAACAAGCAGTACTTGTATTATTTCGACTCTTCGGAGAAATCATTTTAAGAATAAAAAGAAATAGCACCAAATTGGTTTTGCAAGATGATTAATAATATTTTTCAGTAAAAAATTTCAGTCTTTATTTTGAAAAATTCAATAAAACAATCACTGAAAAATCACAAAAGTCAAATTGTATTGTTCTAATTTTCGTCTTCTTTCTTTTCTAATAGAAATGGTAGCGTAGCGGATTCAATGTGAAAATCTGAGCGAATCTCATCGACGGACGAATCAAGATCAACAGTAGTTGGGCTATCCGGATCATCCAATACTTTCAATTCATACATATCGATGTCATCTAATGGAATTACAAAAAATATTTCAAACAACCCCTAGTTTTCGTGAACAAGATACTTGCTCAACAGTGAGCCTCAAAATGCGATCGTATGATCTTAAATTTGAAGTACCTTGAACTATATGTAGTCGCAGTGTACCGAGACTAAAAATTTCGTAGAATATTATGAAGGGGTAGCGCAAGAAAATTCTTATGTTAAAAATGAGTTAGCGGCTTACGGGCTGATCTACGTTCTACATGGATGCACCTTTTTCAATGATTTAATTGAATATTTAACACCTGTTATGCGAAAAGTGAAGTTAATGAAACTCACTATACTTCAGCCGGATAATCTAATGTTGGGTTTAGGATTCCATGTTATGTCATCAGTGGCATATCTCAGTTTAGACATCGGTTGTTCTAACCTTGACTATTATCCACAAACTTATCTTCATCTTCATGCATTGATAAATGATCTCCTGGACGAAGACCAAGAATTGAAACTCTATCACGCATTAACAGTTAACATCAAAAATAAATGTGGAGGAAAATACTAACTTCGATCCTCGCTTTACAACACATCTCTGACCACATGAACCACCGTCAACCTCAACATTTTAAAAGTAATATTCCTAACTGTGTCTATCAATTTCTAGACCAAATTTTGGCTTCGAACGATGGTATTTCTCTTCCGATAACGTCCGCCACGATTTTTGCAGAAAACGTTCGTTAGCAAAATTATCCCGGATAATGCTCTTTGCTTAAGTGGAACACTCTTTTCGTTTGAATACAAAAGTTTTAAAATCAATGCAAGTTATCTCGGTTTCAGGCTCAAAATGGTTAGTCATAATTCAGCCGAAGTTCCAGTAACTTTTTCTTTTTTGATATATTTATACATGGTTGGATCGAAAACATCAAGCTGACGAGGGAACATATCCAACTGTCAAATCGCTTTTCTAACGAAATGCGGTAGCTCATAGGTAATCGATCATGCTGATTCCGAATATGCTAGCCGATTTGGCTAATAGGCCTTTCCTAATCGGTTTCTGGAAAACCAGTTTTCAAGAAACACCGAGTTTTCCAGGAGAACAGATGAAGTTCTTCTGAAGAAACACGAAGTTTTCCAGGACAAAAGATGAGGTTCTTGTGGAGAAACACCGAGTTCTCCAGGAGAAAGGATGAAGTTCCTCTGAAGAAACACCGAGTTTTCCAGGATAAAAGATGCAGTTCTTGTGAAGAAACGTGACGTCTCTCGTGGAAAAATTATCAACTTCTGCTCAAGTAAGCTCGATTTACCCCGGAAAAAAGATGAAGTTCTTC